CATGGCCATCTAAAAACATCTTTGAATCAAAAGTAGAGTCACGACCCTTTACAATAGAAGAAGTCTAACAAATGTCTAGAACAATGAAGAAAAGAAACATAAATAAAGCACTTGTCCTTGAATTCATGAGGACATACCACTAGCCTTGGAAGAACTCAATCCAAACCCTTGAAATAGAGAGAATCAACTCAAATGTCGGAACCTACACTTTGTAGAAAATTAGAAGAAATATGGGTTGTCACATTTAATGTACTAAGTATGATAGCCATGCAAAAACCATGCTTAAGAAGGACATTTTATTTGAAAATCATGCTAAATGCCAATTTTGAGAAAACTTCATGAACATAAGTTTAAAAGGCATAATATACAAGCATAATCATCATACAAACCATTTCATCACATTAGAACATTCACCTCAAGCAACCCTAAGCTATACTTGTGCAATGTGAGAATAGCATGCATCCTATACTACTATGCCAACTAAGTACCACTTTGAGGTCACCTTAGATGAACTTTCCATTCTTCCTTTTTATCCTTAGACAATACTCATACATAAGGAGCATAAACATTTCATAAGTCATGACAAGGAAGTAACTCATAATACAATCCAAGTAAGCATGCATCATTACATTAAGCATTTAAGTCAACATTCTTCATTAGCTTTCTTTTGAGCACATTCTTTCATTAGACATTAAGACCTTAGACAATCACACCATAGCCTCTCAAAGCCTACTCGTGCAATGCATGGATGGCATCCCATACTACCACCCACACTTCATAGAACCTCTCAAGTAACTATAGCACATATCTCACATGATGGGAATAAGCGTTTAACCTACATAGACCATGTGAGCTTAACATGGAATCCGGTGTCTTGCCCCACACCGTAAAGAGGTGGTCTACTTGCCTAAGGTAGGACCGGTAACATTTTAGCTTAGGTGGATCCACTAGCTAATAACCTATGCGTGCACATAGTTATGGGATAAGAAAGATGTTCATTGAATCCCTGCCTAAACATGGGGAGAGCTTCCATCTTACCAAATTCACTCGGTGCTTAGCCTTTATTCCTATAGAGTATTTCATTACTTTAACATTATTACACATGAGAGGGTGTCATTGGCCTACTGACCCAAATTACATTGATTAACAAATGAAAGGGCGCCATAAGCCTATTGATTCAAGGTACATTAGTTAACACATGAAAAGGCGCCATAAGCCTACCGATTCAAGGTACATTAGTTAACACATGAAAAGGCGCCATAAGCCTACCGATTCAAGGTACATTAGTTAACACATGAAAAGGCGCCATAAGCCTACCGATTCAAGGTACATTATTAGGATAGCTCATTGAATCCTCATGAAAGGGTGTCATAAGCCTACCGATTCAAGGTTCATCATTAACATTCATGGAAGGGTGCCATAAGCCTACCGATCCCAAAGTTCATTAACATCATTTATGGAAGGGTGCCATAAGCCTACCGATCCCAAGGTTCATTATTAACATGCATAGAAGGGTGCCATTAGCCTACCGATCCAAGATACATCATTAGAATATGTCATAGACTCATCATGCAAGGGCTACCAACATTAGGTCTACCGATTCATGTTCATTAAGTCAAGACACATTCATAACACAAGAAGAGGATGCCTAATCCTACCAATTCAAGATGTAACAATCAACATTACTTTCATTTACACAAGAAGAGGATGCCTAAGCCTACCAATTCAAGATGTAACACTACATAGAAGAAACCCTTCACATTCTATCATCATCATTCATGAGTGTTAATTGAGAATACACTTTCAATAATAACACGATTACATTTTAAACATGATCATAATACTTTCATTGAGATCGCATACATATACTTCACATCATGATCATACATAGATCCTTCATGAACTTGCCCTCCAAGGCTATAAATCAATCTCAACCCAAACATCTAGAATACTACATTAGATAAGGGGAATAACATGATTCAATAACTAATTCAATATAGACATAAACAATTCAACATACTTTCATGATCATTCAACTTAAATCACAAAATTCCAATTTAGTATTTTGGGGAAAACATGGGTTCATAGGGGAAATTCACCATAATTCATCATTAATTCAACAATGTATTCATAATTCATCACATATAAACCTTTGAAAACGTTTTGGAATTGAATCCATGCATAGATTGGAACCCTAGGTTTTTGGGGGATTTTTGGAAACTTGAAATCATCTTTTGAGAGGGCTCCTTGAATGAAACTTAATCAAGGATGAAGACTACCATACCTTTATGGAAGAAACTCCACGAAAATTGGGTGAGAAAGGTGAGATCTTGAGCTTGAAACCTTGACTCCTTCTCCAATGGTGGTTTCTAGAGAGAGAATATTTGGGTAGGAGGGTAGTTTCTATTTTGTGTTTTGAGAATAATGAATTGAAAAAAGGTGTTTAATACTATTAAAAGCCTTAAAATACTTTAATTAACCAAAATAAACCGTCCCCAACCCATAACTAACTAATTTGGAATTTACCATTTAACCCCTCACTTAGCTGAGATTGGGCAGATTGCCTAGGTGAGACTCACGACCTAGACCCATGGACCGTGAGTGGGGTGACGCCCCATACTGCACGTCCGTGGTTTGGGTCTGAGACTCCCCATTTAGGGTCTTGACCTATGGAAGCCATCCAAGGGGTGTGGATGGACCTACATGGCGTAAGTCCCATCCGTAGCTCCCAAGTTTTTGACAGCTTTTGGCTAGTTGGGGCAGCCTTGGGATTAGGCTTTAGGGTCCCCCTCAAGGACCCTTGGTTGGTCCTTGGGGGGTCCTACCTTGACATTTAACTCCTAAACCCCTCAACCTAAACTCGGGGACTCATTTTACAACTTCAAACCCCATATCAAACTCAAACACACACTCGTTAGACTCTAGTTTCACCTACTAGTTTTCCGAGTCGTTACATTATCTCCCCCTTAGGAATATTCGACCTCGAATGACACTTTTAAACACTTTAGGGAAATAAAGACTCAAGACTAGCAGTCCATCATGCATGAAACATCATAAACAATGCACAAAACTAGGAGGAAACATCAACTCCATCTCAAAAATACTCCATGCAACACAAGAAAGTAGGAACTACATCTACAAACTCATTATGCGTGAAAACTTCAACATTTCTCATTTCATTGGAGGAATTACCTTCTCCAACTCAAATCATGCTCATCATAACATCATTAAGCACATTATGCAATTTCTCTTAAAAGCATACTTAGGCATGTTCAACAATTCACCTCATGAAGCATATAGGCAACTCATACTAAATGCACATCAACATGAGGAACATAAATCATAAAAACTCATTTCCTCATCTAAACATGAATTCATCAAGAACATGCATAACATAAGGAGACCATGGAAACACATAATCACACATGACTCCAAAACATGAAACAAGCTACAGGGAACTCTTGGTGTCAAGCTTGAATAGGAATAGAAGGAAAGAGATAAGGATATCGGAACTCTCAACAACCTTACTATTCAACATACTATCTCTCCCTTAGGAGCAAACCCATACTAAGGCTAACATGAAAATAACATAGGGACCTTAACAAGACATTCACAACTATAGGGACCTATCAACATACCGGTGCCTTTATCCGAAAGAGTTCCCTTGTCCTCTCTAGCCCGAAGTACATAGAAACGGTTTTTCTTTGGAGCATTAGGATCCGGGTCATTTAGAGAAGCTTGCTTGGCCTCTCTTCCTTTGGTCGGAAGAGTAGGGCAATCTTTCACTTGATGATCAATCTTTCCACAACAATAGCACCCATTCGTACCGGCTAGGCACTTCCCATAATGCTTCTTTCCACAAGTGGTGCAAATAGGTTTAGGAAATGGAGACCCACTACCTTTCTCTTGGTTAACCCTAGGAGGGCTTGAAGAATCTTGGTTAAAAGCCCTCTTTTTAAACCTTGGTTGACCTTGCTCATCGGATCTAACTCTCTTCATCTCCCTATTCTCTCTCTTAAGTTTGGACTCCTCAATTGATTGAGAATATACCATAAGCCTAGAGATGTTCATGTCATCATGGAGCATTGCCGTACGGCACTCTTCCTCAACTAGGTCGGACACACCCATCACATATCTACTCATCTCATCCCTTAGCTACTTGTCATTTCAGCAGACCCTCTTTCTCCTTAATTATGATCTTGTTCTATTCTAGAAACAATGTCATTTGAGACTTGTATTTTCTTTTGATTTTGTTATAACACATTAGAGGCTTGTGCACGTGACAACCAAGTTTTGGGGTATTTTTAACTTGATTAAAAATTTCCGCATTTTTTTGTAAAGGCTGAGTTTTAGGATGACTTGTCTTGGTGGGATAAGACGAGTGCCATCACGTCCATTTTTGGGTCGTGACACTACAAAAGTCTTAATTTGTATCCTTTTTTAAAGGTTATTTTCAATGTGCTATTGTACTCAACCAGAGCATACTTAAAATTCAATATGGTTCAATACCATTTGATGAAGATAGTTTTTTGCCGTGAATTGTTATTATCCACCGGAAGATATTAGTGACTCAGGTCACTTTTATATCTGTAAAATGCAGTTGATTGGTGAAGTTTGCGCTATCAATGAACAAAGTAGACATATATTTTTAGATATTTTGTACTTGCAATTCGTGGTCAGCTTTGGCTGGGAAATGAATGGCATAGTAAAGCGGAGGTAAAAAGAGTGGTACTTGCCCTAAATGAAAATATAAGTGGTCAAGATGGTTTTTTTAGGTAATTTTTGCTAAAGTTATTAGGATATTATAGGGAATGACGTGAGTAATATGGTGAGAGCTTTCTTATGTACGTGTGGTCAGAAACTGTCAAGATTCATAACATACACTATAGATTTTTATTAAAACGGATCTAAGACGTATAAGTTTGAGTATTTTTACTAACAAGATATTTCCAGACTACTACATGGGAGGCTGGTAGATGGGTTGCCTGGACCATATTTGCAAAAGGGGAGTTTATTATTTGTGTGATAGACACTGTTTCTAATGTATCTATAAAAAAAAACATAAGAATCTTAGTAATTGTGAGGTTGAAGGCTAATAGGAAGTCCTTCAAGAGGGGTAGGCATTGGATCATATATCATTTTCTCGTTGGGAATAAGTAATTTCCAATTGAATTTCCTGATTAAGATGTGCAGAAAGATGAGAATCTCCAATCGAGCAAACTCTTTTCCTACACACATTCGAGGTCCTCCCCCAAATGGAATATATGTATATGGTGCAGGTCCAACTCCTTCAAATCTTGATGGTTCCAAGCTCGTTGCATTGGGGAAAATCTCTGGATCCAGACTTGTTAAAGCAGTATTCCAGTAAAACTGTTCCAACATAAATGAGTTTTAACTTCTATGCACTAGCAATAACATAAGAAACTATTTATATAAGATTAAGACAATTGAAGTACAAGTAAATCACATGATAAAAATAGTAATCTATCTATTTCAATTTGTTTGTCCTACTTTTATATTTATTTGTGTAAAAGATAATCTCAATTTCCTTTTTTGATAATTCTTTTGACTTTTATTTCAACTTTCCACGTAGCATATTTAAGATTACAAGATTAAAAGGTAGTTCGATAAATTTGACATATATTTAGTTTTAGATCACAAGATTCAAAAATTTTCTTTACTTTCTAAAATTCTATGTCAAGTCAAAATCAGACAAATAAATTAAAATGTAAGAAATACTCGATGTCACATTTTATGTGACATCATTTCCTTTTTAGTATGTCCCAAAAGGAATGTCACCTCATTATAATTAGAAACAATTTAACTTTAAAATTCTTCTTTTACCCATAATGAATTGATTTTCAGTTTCACAAATGTCTAAAAAATGTTTTAAACCACATATAGGAATGACAATGGTGCGGGACGGGGCGGGAAGATTGAGCTTTATCCACAATTTTTTTAATCCGTCCCGCCCCATTATTATCCCTAACCATATATTTCAAAAGTTTTTTTTTTTTAAAAAAAAATAACCGTATCAAGTCAAAATGATTTACATAAAATAGGAGGAAGGAAGAATTTTACCTTCCACCCCTTAGGGATATGATAACCTCCGTAATTTATATCCACAATTGCTTCTCGATAAGCCCCCATTATAGGTGGGGTTAGTCTCATAACTTCAGATACTACATTCCAAGAATACTTCATCTTCTGTATATCATCCCAATTCAAAAACTCCCCTTCTTTCTTTGATGATGCTATCTCAATATGCTCTGCTTTTCACCAAATAATTGATAAAAAAAAATTCCATAAATATGTAAAAACTTGTCTTGCAGAATGTGTAAGGCTAACAAAGCAAATTCAATAATTCAAAAAAACTCCCCTTCTTTCTTTGATGATGCTATCTCAATATGCTCTGCTTTTCACCAAATAATTGATAAAAAAAAAACATATAAAAAAAAATTCCATAAATATGTAAAAACTTGTCTTGCAGAATGTGTAAGGCTAACAAAGCAAATTCAATAATTCAAAACACAGAAAAAATATATAACAAAAGAGACACAATAATTTAATGTGATTCGATCAATGAACAAACCTTGCAGAATGTTTTGATAAATTTGAGGGTGCTCCGCAAGTCTCTTAATGAGTGAAGTAAGAGTGACAGATGAAGTGTCATGGCCAGCAAAGAGAAACAGCAATATGTTATTAACAATAAGTAGTTCAGACATGTACTTTCCATTTTCATCTGGACATGACAACAAATGAGACAAAATGTCTTGTGAAGGTGAAGCTGTGTTCTGTTCCAAGGTTTCTCTTCTTTTCTTTACAACTTGCAATAATTCTTTCCTAATAGCTGTTGTAGCTCTCATTGCTTTGTAAAATGCTGTACCAGGTAAATTTATAGGGAGGGAAATTAGTCCTTTCAATAAAATGTTGAACTGCGTAGAAAGCCTTTCGACTTCATTATGGTCTTCAATGCTTATGAATAGTTGACATGCCACTTTGAAAGTGTATAATTTTACCAATGGATACACCTTCACCTTCTCTTTACCTTCATAAATACAGAAAAATTGTTAAATATTGTATTTTGTACTAACATATATACTAAATCTCTAACAAGAGGAGAATACTGCAACTGTTACCTTGACAATAATTCATAAATATAGACCAAGAAGAGAAAAATATTAAATATTACTCCATCTGTTTTAAAAGTAATGATCTAGTTTGATTTGGTATGAAATTTAAGAAAATTAAAAAAAAAATCAATCTTGTGGTCCTAAATTAAAGTTATGTCAAATATACCAATAAATGTCTTTTAATTGTATGGTCTTAAACCTGTCACATGAAAAATTAAAATTAAAATGTTGTTAAAAAAAGAAAACAGTACTCACTTTTTTTATTATAAAACAGACTAAAAAGGAAAATAGTTTATTCATTTTTAAATGTAACAGTATATTTTTTATCAAACATATTGAGTAAATCTCTAACAACAGGAGAATACTTCAAGTGTTACCTTGCCAATAATTCATAAAATGGTGGTGTGCAACAAGTTGCATGGTTTTGATGTAGAGTCTAGAAAAAGCATCAGGGCTAACAAAAGTAGAAAGCATCTTCCTCATGATTTTGGCTTCTTCTCCAACAGTAGTAATCAAACAAGATCCTATAATTTTTCTTACTGTTATTGGCCACCAAATAACCACTTGTTTGTTTTCATTGCTAAACAAGAACTTATTCCCACTTGCACCACCCAATACCACCACAGTCTCTCCCATTAACGAAGTCTTGAAGATTTTAGACTTGTATTTCTCTATTCTCTCTTTAACGAATTTCTCTGGCTTTCCTTCCTTGTTTGCCTTGAGAAACTTTAGTGTTTCGCCTAGAAATGGCCATCCACAACTTCCAGGAGGATAATTCAATCTCTTTCTTCTCATCACTAAGACAATTATGATGAATAATGCTAAGGGCAATAGCAAAACATACACAGGAATTTCCATATCAATACACTCTGATTTTTTTTTTTGCTGTCTGAAATTAATGTAAACAACTAGCTGTTACGTACAATATATAGTTACTCTGGACCTAATTCCGTGAAGTATATAAATACACCTCTCTCCTAATTTGTTTTTATCAAAATAGGAAAGGTTTGGTTTGACTTGATACAAAATTAAAGAAAATATTGAAAATATAATTAAATAATAAAAATGTGTTTTTTTTTAAAAGTTTAAATTTTTAGATGAAATAGACAAAGGGCTTTAGATCGAATATGATCACCGCCACCCAATATAAAAAAAATCCACGTGATAAAATGAACACAAACTTTAATAAATAAAATACTTCCTCCGTCTCATTTTATATGTCATCCCTTTCTATAAATAGTTGATCCATAATACTTGTCATTTCATAAAATCAATGCATAAATTACCATATTGTTCCTTTTTTACCTTGTGAGTTATTTGCCTTGAAAATATACATTTGACCAACTTAGAAAAACTAAGTAAATGATTCATGTTCATTGATTAAATTAATTAATCAAACTAAATTAATTCATATTCATTGATTGAAAACTTGAGTTCCAAAATAATTAAATAAGGATAGAAGAGTAAAGTTACATTATTTCTTAATGCAAGTGCAAAGTAAAAAGGTGACATATAAAATGGGACGGAGGGAGTACATTTTTTAATCTTATAATCCTAAATCAAAGTTATGGCAAATACATAAAAACGCGACAAAACTAAAATTAAAATATTGAAAAAAAAAAAGGATCCTTTTTTAAAGTCTTCTCTTTGATATAGAAGTCATAATGTTTTAGATACTCCGTCAAATTCGGCATAGTGAAAGTGATAGAGTAATGTTTTATATACTCTACAAACATGGCAAGTGGGAGTGATAGAGATTTGGCCATAATTCTTTTAAAAAATAATTTAATTTATTCCATGTTAAACGCAATTTCATTTTTTAAATATCATTTTTTATTTTGAAAAATAAAAACTATTTTTTTTATTTTCACCATAAAAACATAGAGAAACACCGAATTATACTTAAAACAATATCTCATATGGTCATTTAATTATGATATATCTTTTAGAAGTCACTCAATTTTATACGCAACTACGGGTAATACTTTTACAAAGTGAGCCAACTTTATTTTGTAACTCAAAATTATTCAACTAAAAATAATTGTCTTGGAAAATCATTCCACAATTGTTATTTGAGGTAAAAGTTAATCATAAGTGAGTGAGCATCAAAGATAATTAATATGTCGCTAATACTTCATAAATTTTCTCCTTCACCCTCACCCCGGTGCCCTTTCCTCTCTCAAATCGCTATCACTCCCACTATGCAAAGTTTGATGTGATAAAAACAAAATCAATTTGGTTCAGAATTATTATGTGATAAAATAAAATAAAAAATAGGAGAGATGTGTATTTATATACGCCACGGAATTAGATCAGGAAGAGTACGAAATAGCTAGCTGTTTGTAATTATAGTTTAAGAAAGATAGAAAAATAAAGAGAAATCAGCATTGATTTGGAAATTCCTGCATATGTTTAATTTTGACAGTGGCATTATTGTTGGTGGATGAGAAAGAATAAGAAAAAGAGATTGAATTTCTGAGAGAAACATTAGACTTTCTCATAGCGAACAAGGAAGGAAAGCTAGAGAAATACAAGTCTAAAATCTTCAACACTTCCTTTATGGAAAAGACTATAATAGGTGTGAATTGTTGGATATTTTGTATTATATATAGAGGTATTAAATTGAACAAACATAATTTTTCGTGAAAGAACATGTTATAAAAAGTCGTTTGTTCACGAAAGAACATGATCTTTACGAATAGTCATTTGTTCATAAAAGAACATGACTCTTATGAAAAGTCATATGTTCATTGAAAAAACATGACTCTTACGAAGAGTCGTCTCTTAAATTCTATAAATATAAAAACTCTCTAGAAGTAGTCTAAGAAAAATCTACATGTATAAACAAATGACTTTGTTGTATCCTTGAAGAAAATTGTTTGTATTTACCACAATATATATGGGAAATATCTCTTTAAGTAAAGTGATCTTCTTCTTCTTCAATTTATACTTACTACTCCCTCTGTCCCAACTTATATGACACATTTCAAATTTTGAGATTCAAACAAGTCTATCTTTGACCGTAAATTTTTCATATATCTTTTAAATATTTTGAATTATCAATTATTGGGACTTATAGTACTTTATAAACAAATATATAAATTTCATTTTAAATAATTTGAAGATTCCATGAGCATATTCTTGGTCAAACTTAAAATGTTTGACTCTCGAAAAGTGAAACGTGTCACATAAATTGAGTCAGAGGGAGTATTATTTTTCTAATAATTTTAAAGAGATTAGATTTGAAGAAGATAAACGAGACATGGTCCTTGAATTCTTGAGGAAGTGGGGAAGTAAGAAAAATAATTTGAGTGATCTTAAGTATGATTCTAAGGCAGCAAGTCATATGCAAAAGTGAGTCAACAGTGGATCACGAATGAAATGACATATATCGAGTTCTGCTTTCTTAACTTCTCTTATTATTTATTTATGAAATTGTATCCTTTGAAATTTTTGAGAAATGATTTTTCATAAATGTTCGGATAATTAATTCATTTGTGATGATCTTGAAATGTATTTTAAATAAGTTTTGAAATAACATATTTGATATGCTTAATATAAATTTGTTATTTAGGTCAAATAAAATCATTATGATATAATTGTATTGCATAAAGATCATGTGAATTTATTTTCAAGTTATGGGATGAAATATATGAATTTCTTTATTTTGATGGATAATATATATACTTGAAGTTATTAGAATATTTTGAAAAGAAGAGAAATAATCATTTTTTGTTAGATCATTTTACGTTCTTTATGTCTTCTTATTGAATGCTAATGTATTATCCTATTGGAACACAATAAACTTGACAACAAGATGATCTATTGATGTTAATTAGATGTCCAGACGAGTTATAAATGGACATTTAAAACATTCAAAGTGTGAGGGTACTTGGATTATGATTAATAGTCAATATTATTTGAAGAAGTTCAATATATTCCCTCTGTCCCTAATTACTTGTCCACTTTTCTTTTTTTAGTTGTCCCTAATTACTTGTTTATTTTGACAAATTAAGAAAGGACAAAATACTTTTACTTATTATACCCTCAATTAATTACTTTGAAAAAGGTTTTGAAAATCTTAAGTTCTTCATTCATCCTTTCCATAATTATTAGGGGTAAAATGATAAACTCTATGTCAATAATTGCTTTTTAATAGGTGTGTCAATTCAAAAGTGGACAAGTAATTAGGGCAAAGAGAGTATAAATTATTTCTTCAATACCCACAAAATATATCTTTGATGTATTTGACATGATAGTTATATTTATAACTTGACAATTTTAGCAATAAGTAGTTGATTAAACTAATAATGTGACGATCAATCTATAAACCTTGATAGAAATATTTATGTAATTTCGTGAAGTGGCATCACTTGAAATGTTGCGACTTTTCATGAAAACAAAAAGTATTTGTTGTAAGATCTTTTGTATAGGCATGATCATTCATACATAGATGATTTGCTATGTTGATCTATAAATAGTGAATCTTCTAATGATAATGGTAAAATTCATATAAGTTGGATTTGTAACATGTATGAAGGTGACATAAATTTTGCACCAAAATAGGCTTGAATTCTATAGTGGAATAAGATATGTTTAGCATATAAATGCTTGAAAGGAAATGGAATGATTGAAAATATGATTTTGAAATGTTATGACTATAACTGATGCAACAATTATAAACTACTGATCATATAATATCTATGATATGCCTATGTAAAAGATTTATTTATGATTTATATTAATCTTGTAAAAATCTAGTTTCAAAAGATGTAGTATAATAAAAGTGTGAATGAATAAGGCTAAAATTCTTAAACTAAACACAAGTGATGGAAACACAACTTTGAGTTAGTATACATTCTAACTATACAAGTTCAATAGGTAATAACAAGTTACATTGTGTTGCTAAAGCACGAGTTTTCTCTTTAGAGCATTGATTCAAGTGTAGTGCATACTGTTATATGAGAAGTTGAGGAGTTGTTAAATACTTAAAATAACAGGGGCATAGTGATAACCATAGTGCATACTATTACACAGAGGTTGAATTAATTCTTCATAAAATTAGAATGTCTACAATAACAAGGACATATACAGTAGCTAATTTCACACACACACACACACATATATTTGAAAGAGGGTCAATTTTTTCCTTTAACACCACTCCTAGGCAGTCTACAAACGTCTGCAAACTTCAGCCTTACACCTTCACATTTTTGACCAAGTATAAAAATACTTAACTTAGTTTTTATTCAACGAATCAAAGTAACAAACCCAAACAACATATAGGAACTCTTCCCAACCTTTATTAATATCAAAATCAATACAAGGAAAGGCTTCACAAATTTATCTAAGGCCAGAACATTTGTCATTTTCCTTAGACGAATTTCCATCCATTTAAAATTTCTGCACAAGGCAGTTACGACAGTTACATAGGCAGTTACGTTTGACATGTGTCCAACACTTGTCATTACAAAATTTAAACTAAGTCCTCAACAACTATAATTTTAATAGATAGAATATATTTCGAATTCAAATATATTCTAACAGTTAACCGAAATTACAACATTCCAACACTTAGAATATCTCAGCCTACTTTCAACACTTAGAATATTTTAGCCTACTTCCAACACTTAGAATATTTCAACTAGCTTCCAACACTTGGAATATTTCAGCCTGCTTCCAACACTTAGTTTTATTTCAACAACTCTTGTAAATGCCTTTGTCTTGCCATCATCAAGTCCCACAGTCTTGCCTTGTCAAGCCAACACACTACCTTGTCTTGTCGACGCCTCTGCCCACACGTAAGCCTTGCACGTCCAAGATGCCTTGCCAACACCCAAGCACCTTGAACCTTTGTTGCATTGTTTTGCCCACATACA